AATGGCTGATTCTGTGGCTGTAATCACATACGAGCCGCTGAAGAGAGATCCAGGAAGTGGTTACAAGAAGAAACTAATAGATTGCCTGAAAAGTTTAGAGCAGGACAAGGCTATTAATCGGATTCTGTATCATAGACTTTACCCAGGTGAGGCCACTCCTAGTCTGTATGGTTTACCCAAAATTCACAAACAGGATGTACCGGTAAGACCCATTGTTAGCATGATCAACTCTGTCACTTACAATGTCCTGATGCATCTCAGTAATCCAGGTAAAAAATAAAAGGAAAAAAAAATTGTATAGGTCCTCTGGACGGGTTCTTCTTTAATGAAAAGTTTCGTCTCTCTTCCAAGAGACTTCTTCAGTCTTCAAAAAGCCTGAATTTTACCTGAAACTCTCAGACTGAAGAAGTCTCTTGGAAGAGAGACGAAACGTTTCATTAAAGAAGAACCCGTCCAGAGGACCTATACAATTTTTTTTTCCTTTTCATCTCCCTTATGATTATTGTGTTTCTGCTTGAAGGTTTTTATGATTTTTATGTGAAGATTTTGATGCTTTGATGATTCTTGTGTACTGATTTTAAGGATTTTACTGCACATTTGTTTGATGTTTTTATGATGTAAAACACTTTGAATTGCCTTGCTGCTGAAATGTGCTATATAAATACATTTTTACTTACAGTACTTACATTATTCTTCTCATGATATTTTCCTGACTACTCAGCAATAAGCCATACATTTTCTTGGAAACTGCAGGGGCGGTTCCATTGTTGAGCCGGCGCTGGTGGAGCAACTCGAAGCTCTACCAGTCGTGCAGCAGAGGAATGTCAGCTCACCAGGGTTCACTGTTTGGGCCTCCATTGGATCTGCTGACAGGACAGGACAAAGGTGTGGAGAGGTCCACTACAGAATGCAGCAGTACTGTGGGCTGCTTGATGGTCCTTTAGTGTTTAAGGGGTCGTTTACAATGAGCTGGTTTTTCAGTGAAAACAGTATTTTTGTTGCGATCCAGCCGCTCATTTAAACATCAGTAGCTGCATTTCCATTGACCATGAAAATGAGCTAATTAGAATTTCAGAAATAAATTTGGTCAATGGAAACACGTCAATTTCTAAAAAAAAATTACGTTTTTCGACAAAATGGTTTTGCGCTAGGATGAGGTGGTTTTTCGGCCGTATCGAAATTGATGTATTTCGTGAAACTGCAATGGAAACACCTTTTTCGCATCACGGGAGTCACGTGACCAAGAACCGGCTGTTTCTAATGGCGAAAAAGACGAAGAAGAAGATAACAGGAAGTAAAAGTAGTCATAAAATCGCAGAAGTAGTAAAAGAAAGTATTAAACTCACCGACTACATTTTACCAAAAACGCAGCATACATAGACGTTCCCAAGTATGAGGGGCTTGTCGCTCGAAAGCCTCGATAAGACGCCAACGTCTCCTCTGATGGCTGATGATGAGCYCTAGTGTCGTGGTAGCAATATGTTATGTGTTTACATCCATTGCCGCCATGCTTGTAATGATTTATCGTGAGAACAAGCGTATTCACGCGTGACTTTAATAGCATTTCTTACCTAATGGGAACACTGCACAAGTCATTGCTATCCTTGGAAGTAATATAAACACTCAACTCGATTGGCGGCTTCCCCCTGACTTCCAGCGGAGGCGCGAAAAATGCATGTGCGCATGCGTGATGACGTCAATTGGCAAAAGGTCTATTGCAAAACTGTGTTTTTCGACATTAACAGAATATCGACAAAGTTTTGCGCACATTTGCAATGAAAACGCAGCTACTGTCTCTGACTCTGGCACTTTTTGAAACCAGGTCAGAGTGGAACTTTTAAGTATGACAATCTGGGTCAAAATACAAAAATTCGAAAGGACAGTATCTCTGTCCCATCTGGCTAACCCTGTCTGTCACAGTATTGCAACGGTTCCATGTAAATGAGTGATTATTTTTTGTTTATTCGCCCTAATAAACATGGAAAAAGACACCAGCAAAACACCGATCTCGTGTAAACTGGGTCTAAGCGTGTCTCTGAAAACAACAGAATCAAAACAAAATGCAAACAAAAGGCTAAACAGGATGTTGTGCAAATTGGTATGCTAATTTTAGCCCAAGGACAAATGTTGTTGCTGTTGGAGCAAGATTCAAATCCTTAACTTATTCAAAACACGCTCAACAATGTGCAACCCTGGGCTGAGAGGTCATCTCTGCCTCTGTCTGAAGCTCTGCACGAACAATAATGTGACACAGCACAGCCTCCGCTGTGCCACGCTGTGACAGCAACAGTTGATTGTTGCGTGAGGGCGTTTAAAAACCGAGCTTCTGTCTCTTCTCCTCCAACCCAACCCACTCTGTGGGCCATTAAAATTTCAAAGGAGGTTTCCCTCAAAACCCACGGAAGCTGTGGTCTCCACCCGTGTGCAGAGGCACAGGTTTAACACACAAAACGGTCACGTTGGGCTTTGATGTTGAGTTTGGCTCAGTTCAAAATGCTTGGAGGTTGTTTGGAAGGGAAGGGATAGTTTTAGTGTATTTTAATCTGTTTGTTTAGCCTTTTTTCCCCTGACATGAGAGTGTATTTTTAGTAATGACTTTCACAATAAAACCTTTAGCATTTTATCAGTTTGTGCAAACTCTAATTCTGTATAATTAACTTAGTAAAGTCCTCGTTAACCTGGTGTGCTTTGTCTCCGTCTTTTAGTTTTAATCAAAATGAAGGCAACCAAATAGAAAAAGAGCAACCTACTGTAAAAGAACTGAACACAGCTTTTAAAAAATCTGGTAAAGATGGAAATTACATTATGCACAAATATTGTCCACGAAGCAGACTTTAAATAAAGATCACCAGTGGAAAATACTGTGAAAAGTAGGGGTTCATAAAGTCTGAGACGATAATCCTCCCCTTCGATAAAGCTTGGAAAAGAAAGCTCCACAACATGACCACCGTTATGTGATGTGATCTGGCAGGCTCAACTTTCTGAGCCAAGATACACAAATGTTGTTGAAAACATAAAGAAGGTCTGTCCTGAAGTATTTGTTAGTTTGAGAATTTGTGGGAACCCCAGAAATACTTTAGCTCTGAAAACATTTCAAATAAATCACACTCATCTAAACTATCCTGTTTGCTTTAAATGATATGAAAAACACKTTGTTCAGTTCCAGTCACAATACTTTAAAAAAAATTGTTTTAGTTATCATATTTTCCATTTTTTTATGTAAACTGTTCAGCAGTAGAGTGAATATGTTTGATCACATAAATCTTTTTTGTCTTGTGAGTAAGAAACACAAAAATGTTGAAAAGCAGAGTTATGACGTAGAGTATTGTTTTAGGCAACAATGTGCCTGCCTCGTTCACTGTAAAAARGTCTGTTTATAGTAAAAATGAATCTACATAAACATAAAATGTTCAACAAATTTTAAATTCTGTTGTTTTGCGAGGAGCTGACGTTAAACCCTGGAGATGTTAAACGGTTTGTTATTTTTTGAACCTGTAACTATAATGGAAAACCACACGATTCTCACTTTATAGCTTCCTGCAGCTGCCTTTAAAGCTGTAAAACGTTCAGCAGCTGACTCACTTTGATTTGCTGCTGGATTTTCTTGCTCTGTATTGCATGCATCACTCTGTCTGAAATATTATCTTGTTGATGTGTGTGTGTGTGTGGGGGGGTGGGCTTTCATGTCTCAAAATGCCTTCTGACCTACAGTGGGTTGAGAAATATCACTAAGTTTATTCTGTTGCAAAGCTTCATTGAGGTTTAATACGTGGAGCATTTTAACCTATAGTTCTTTTAAACAATCCACTGAAAGCAGCTCTGTTTGGCTAAAAGTCCAAATGGAAAAACTCAAGTTACCTAAAGCCATGTGTTGGACTCCTTGCCATGAGATGACATCACTCTTATGTGTCTTGCCTCCTCAGAATGGGCACAAAAGTGCGAGCCAAGCCGAGGGTGTAGCCGCATCTGGCGGAGGGAGCTGAACAGAGCGGGACTCTCAGAGCGCCGAGCGATTCGCTTCGGCGGCGGCTGGGGGAACGATGGGCGAGATGGAGGAGGAGAGCGACAACGTGGGCAAGCCGTTCGAGAACTTCCTCCAGGCCTCGACCTGTAAAGGAACRCTTCAGGCCTTCAACGTCCTCTGCAGACGTTTGGACCTGGACCCAGCGGAGCACAGAAGCTTCTACGCTGCGCTGAAGGCAAAGGTCACCTGCTGGAAGGCCAAAGCACTGTGGAGCAAGCTGGACAAAAGGATGGCCCATAAAGAGTACAAGAAAGGCCAAGCTTGTGTTGGCACAAAGGTAACTTATGTCTTTCTACAGCAGCTGGCTTGATGAAATTTTAAGAAGTAAAAGAATGATACCAAAATATAAATGCATTTATCCTCTCCACTGGATTTGTTCTCGTTCAYTTTGGTTTAAAACAGGGGTGTCCAAACATTTTGTCACATGGGCCAAAATCATAAAGTCAGAAGGATTTGAGGGCCAAAAATATTATTCCTTTTACCTGCTCAACAATAAACTTAGCATTGAATACTTTAATTAAACAAATAAAGTAGTCAGATTTATTGCTGGAAATGGATGTGTAAATTAATCTAGATCCAGAACTTTAAAAGTGTTTTGCAGGATTCCCTCATTGAAAGAAAATTAGTAATTTTCTAGGTTTCAATTGGGGAAAAAATAACCCAATTTAGTCAATTCTGATCAATAAAATCAGGATTTATGTCACTCTTTTGTTGACAATGCTTGCTGTATTCAGACGAATTCTATAATTTAAAGCAGATTGGAGTGCAGCAAAATCAGCTTCTGAGTAGAAGTCACTAGATAGATGTGGAAAAAGCTAAGAGTCTGGTTATTTAAAGACAAATAATTGGTAGTGTTGCCAATATTTTTATTGTAAGATTTTACTCTGTGATAAATTTGCCCTAATAATAAATAGAATGTCTCCATCTACATCAAACACCTGTGCCGAGGGGGTCAAATTTGTAAACAAATTAGTATAAGTCTTGAACTGAAGTCAGGGGCCACACAAAATCAGTTCAGGGGCCACAAATGGCCCCCGGGCCACACTTTGGACATCCCTAGTTTAAAACGACGATGAGTCATCCTGTTCACATTCTTACCTTTAGGCTGAGCATTCCCCGTTTTGCTTGGAACTGTGTCATATTTTCTATTGACATAACTCCGTGTCAGAGTTGTATTTTTTGAGTCAGTTTGTTTCTTTTGGCCTTTGTCCAAAGCAAATCAAACATTCTTCACTTTGTTTCATTCTGTGAGCTCACAGCTGAGTGATTTGGGTTAATAACAGTTAGAAAATGTTAAAAAAAAGTCTGGATCTTTGCGTTTCGTTTCACCTTCCTCCCCACGTTTCCTGTCTGCACTTATTTTTTTTCACACAGACCTTAAACGTGTGGTTTTACAGAATTGTTATGCGACTGTAGAAAAAAAATCTGGTTGCCGACTTTGACTCAGAAAATAAAATAGAACATGAACCCTTGAGTTTATTGAAATAAGTGAAAAAGCATGAACAAAGCGGAGGAACAGTAGTTTGGTGAATATCAGCCAAGAGTGGGGTTCTTTGTGCCAGGAAGGTTTCCGGTCCACACCTGCACATTCAGGGTGTGTGAATTCAATCAGGACCATAAAAAAAAAAACCACGCAGCACACTAAAAATTTTGCACCAACTCCACAAGGCCAGAGAAGCTGCAGAGGAGTGTAATATTCACACACAGTTGTTATATATATGAAAATATCTGGAGAAGTGAAAGCTGTCCTATTAATTAGCAAACTACCTTGACTAGTTTTGGAACAATAAAATTATTTTTCCAAGACATCTGAAAAAAATATATATTTCCTGTTAAAATCAGGGGGATTTTCTTCAAACATCAGTGAGATTTTATGAATTATGAAGCGTTTTGTACCTTTTTCTCACATTGTTTCATCTTAATTGAAACAAGCAACTCTCACACTTTGTGAACTGATAGTGTCCTCTAATTCAGTGGTTCCCAAACTTTTTATCTTCTGACCCACAAAATATTCATTGCAAAAACTTGTGACCCCAAATATTACTGGTCTGAGTACACAAACTTTGTTAATAACCCTAAAAACAAAGCCTACACAAATATAAATACTTATTTTGTGTTTTTGTAATAATCATAGGGAAAATATTACATCACCAATTATTTTATTACCTTTTAAATTGATTTCTGAAGTGCAGTGGTTCCCAAACTTTTCAGCTTTTGACCCACAAAATAACAGAGACCTGTGCCCCCAACTATTTTTTGATGATAAACATTTGTATCAGGTCAACTAAACATGGGCAAAGTGACGGCAACTTAGGCAAAAATGTAATTAATTTAGAAAATCTTTTCAGGACCCCACTTTGATGTTTCAGGACCCCACTTTGGGTCCCGACCCCAACTTTGGGAACCACTGCTCTAATTTACCTGCCCAAACAGAACCACCCATTCTTGTACAGAAAAATCTTCAGCTGTCCATTTAATAAACCAACCTCTCAAAGGAATTCCTAAACTTTTAACCTTTAACAAATTATTACACACATCAGACGAAAGATATTCAAAGTTTGTTCTTGAAATAAATTCTGATAAGATCCTTGAGGCAAACCTTTAAAGGGTGTGTACAACATTTGTTTTCTGGGTAGCTGGGGCAGTAAAGGTGATGAGGGACCGTTCACCTGTCTGCTGTGTGCAGCTGGACAGACTCTTGTTATTACTCAGAGAAAGAGATGGCATCACTTAGCGACTCTGATTATTTGACGCCAGGTGTTCTCAGCTCCAGGTTTTAGACGTCTTTCTTAGAAAGCTGAAGCCTGCTGGTGGAAGTGATCCTAAAAAGAGTGAGCTCAGGTTTACAGATTATTTTCAGGCAAAACACAATATATATCATAACATTCTTGGTGGTTTTGAATTAATATTTACAGTCATTAGATAAAGGGTTTTATTAAAACTATATATTTTTTTAATTCTCTGATTTTTTTTACAGGCTGTTTAATGTGCATGATGTTTTTACTGCTCACAGGAGGCTATCTAACTTTATGTCATCTGGCAGGGTAAATGATTTAGTCATGACTTTTTCCCCTCTTGGTGACAGATGTGATCTCACTCAGCACCTCTTCTTCATATCACTGCTTTAGGAGAAACCTTTTCAAAGAATGTGATGTCATGTGTTTTTATGGCCTGACACAGCTGGCAGCAGAAAACACAGCGCATGTCTCATAAAGTTTTACAGTTTACAGCAGAATCTGTCGTTTTATTGATCTGTGTTGCAAATTGTCTTCAGTGTTTTTTTTTATCTTTTTTTGTGTGCCAGTTTGACATTTTAAAAGATTTAAAAACTGGGAATCTATAAATCACAGCAAAATGACTGATCAGTCAGATTAAATAATGTCACTCAAACAGAATTCAGTTCTGTGATCACTTCTCTAATGGTTGTTTTTTAAAGATAATAATCTGTCATATGGATTGTTTACTCACTGCCTGGGATAATTTTGTTTAACTTGAGGGCTGAAATCAATCTGAGGTCAGAGTTGCAGGAAAATGTGAACACAGGTGGAAAACTGAAGGGAAACGTGTTTCCTGACTCGGCAGATGTGACACAAACCACCAGGACATCATATCAGTGTTAAAACAAGCTGCTGGAGGAAGATAGAGAAATCAAAACAGGCGCTAACGTTTAGCCAACAATGAACTGATTGTGAAAAAGCTTCTGAATAAAGTGAGTTATTTTTCTTTTGTTTGGTGATTAAAATATTTTTGTTGTCCTTCTCTGGTGGTTGAATGAAGAGTCAGTAGCTGCTTATTTGTTCAGAGGAATAACTCCATYCAGGCTTGTCAGGGCAGAACACTCACCACCTGTTTCACACCAGAGAACATGTCCTCCTGGGATCTTCAGGAGACTCATGATGATGAATGATTGTATCTGTCTGCACTCGCAGAGAGGCAGGGTATGAGCTCACTAAAGCTCAGTCACTCTGGTATGAAGATGKAAGATACAAAACAGGAAACAAATTATTACAATACAATACAATACAGTTTACCATGCACAATTTTCAGCAATACTTTGCAAAGTATAACAAGCCAGCAGATAGCGTTAAATCCTCACTTCACCGCAGTCTCCCATCCTGAGCGGCACAWTGGCGACAGTGGAAAGGAAAAACTCACTTTTAACAGGAAGAACCCTCCAGCAGAACCAGGCTGCAGGACACAACAGGACTGGTCCAGGTGTATTTTCCTCTGGAAGAGAYTCAATGAAACATGTTACTGATAAAAATAAGAACAAATGTACGAGAGTGACTAAAAACAGCAGCAGACTCAGGAAATGTGGTCAGRTTGTCTTCCAGCAGTCTGAGCCKATAGCAGCAGATSTAAGGGAAAGGTCAGGAAKCCTAAGTCTAACTGTAGGATTTATCAAAAAGGAAAGACGTAAGTCTTAAAGGGGCAATATCATGTAAAATCAACTTTTTTGAATTTTGTATCATGTTATAATGTTATACTCTCAGAAAAAACATGCCCAAAGCCTTGCTCTGA